TGGCCCAGCAATAAGAGGGAACACAAACCTAGTTTGGAAGTTGGCCAAGGGAGTGCACACGAAGGCCAGCCGCAGGCTGGCTTCGATTTTGGGCTTGGGTACGAGAAGCCCAGCCAAAAGGCTAGCTTCGGATCGCAGGCCGAGGCTAGGACAAAGCCCAGCTGCAGTCGAGCGAGGTCATGCAAAGCCCAAAAAGGCTTTTAGGGCATGCTGGTGGACTTAGGGCTTCAGGCCCATATGAAGACCAACCCAGGGCGAGGCCTGGTGCTATGCAGTGGCGTCGAAACGATGTCGTCCTGGCGATGGTGTGGCTGCAGGCCAACCATGTTAGCTCGGTGACGCGGCATGGACTCGTGGCTCAATCCCAAAATTTTGTTTTTTTCTAAATTAATTTCGATACTTTGACTCACAAATTCCACATAGTATAATTGCGTATTGCATGAACAAATATATAGATATTGACAAAATATATGAACACATATGCAATATATATAATTAAAAGGAAAATATAAATATAAGGGGTTCATGCAGCATGTGGAATGTTTTCATGTGTTAATGTCGTTTCAAATATCTTAATTTATTTTAAAAAAAAAAACCTAGTTGGTACAAAATAATTGAAAACCTTTGATGTTGTAGAAGAAAGCCTCCTCCACGATCTTTCAGTTCCTTAGTTTCTGGCAAGAGCGTGCTGATAACGTGTTGTAGGCCTATTTGACTGAACTGTATTTAGGATAGAGAGAGGGGCAGGCGGTGACAAAGTGAGAAAAGAGATATGTAATTCTGAGGTGTGTGATGTTTCACCCCATTGTGCATTTATATATAGTAGTAAGATAGGTTAAATTGTTACCCTAATAATAGGATTATAACTCTAATAGAATTTAACTACTAAAGGGAATATATAAAAATACTCTTTGATACACTAGGATTTACACAATCACATTCCTAATCCAATAGAACTGCAACATTCTCTATATTATATGCATTTAATATATATATATATATATAGCTTAAATGCATATAATATACACGGCTAGATTTGAGAGTCTAAATACATTGTATTATACTATTATTTATTTATATATAATATTATATATATACTGATATTCGGTACGATACAATACTGTCGATAATGATTATGGGTACCATTACCATACCATTTATATTCGGTATGGTACAATTACCTACCCATTACCAATTTGCCGCAAAACTGATAGGATATGGTTGGTACGGTAAAAAAAATTTCAACTTTAATTGAGATGTAGCAATGTACGGGTCGCTGACATTGTCTTCTTCCTTTGCAGTCGTGTAGAAAATAATAGCCTAAAGTTCTAGTGAAACATCATCTTCATTCTCTATGATATTTTCGTTGCTCTAAAAACTCCCGCCTAGGCAGCTGGTGTCTAAATTAATCCCTAGTTGTTTCAAAATTAAAAAAAGTTCACCTAAACCTGTCTACATGCTTGACTAGCCTATCAAAGTTGCGATTCTCACTTAAACAGAAAACTGTTAACTTTTATTTTATATTTTATTTTTTCAATAAATTAGAAGCGACTTGTTGAATACCACGTGAACTTGTTTCATGTTTTCAACTTGCTCCCTATTTTACCAAAAAATAAATAATAAACATGTTCTTTGACGGCCATGATCAATTTGACCGTTGGATCAACCAACAATCCAGATTCAAATTTTTTTAGTTTTATATTTATAATTTATTGAATCCAACAGCTGAAATAGAATATGATCAAATCTAACGAAAAATATATATAATTTAATGGCCCAAATTTAAATCCAATAGCTAAAATAATTGAAAAAAAATTATTTAACTTGATTCCCCCAAAAACTTATAAATACCTATGTATTTGTTCAAATATCCACACAAAACTCACTTTTCTCCAACCATTCTTCCAATTTTTCTTTCTACAATCGTTCAAAACCATTTATTCCCATTTCCAAATGTTTCAAGATGGCAAAAGATCATATTAGAGGTCGTAATTGGTCATAGAAGGAAGATGTTGTTTTGTGCTTGACATGAGTTTGTATTGGCGAAGATGGTGCCATACACACGAATCAAAATAAAAAGTTTAGTGGGCTAAAATTGTTGATAAGTTCAATGAAAACTCCAACACTAACCGAATGGAGGTTGGTAATGTTTACGATTGGTGAAGGTTATCAACAAAGCATGCACTTTATGGAAAGGAAACTTGGAGAGAGCCATAGCTAGTGGAAGGAGGGCCATAGAAGTGATGAGTTTCTTTGTTAATATTTTATTCCCTGTGAAAATATGACTTTAGCCCTTTAAACTCAATTTTCTTCATAGAAAACCCTACATAACCTTTTTATTCAAAGAAAACCCAATGACTAGGATCCACATAAGCAAATTCATTAACTTCATATTAATTCACACATTTTACATTTTTCACATGCCTAAAATACCCCTATTACATACTTGATGTAGACAATTAATTGTAAGGAAATAGTAAATGATTTTGCAACAAGAAAAAAAAAAGACATTAATGTTAAAAATTTACTGCATTTTAATTTTTTAAGAAAGGTTTTGAATTTTCATGAAACTATTCGATTCAATTCTTTCACCATACTCTTGAATACTTTTGGATTTATCCTTTTTTTTATTAATATATTAGAACATTGTATTTCATTATCTACATGCACATTAATTTACCTACGAACAATTATACCATGGGTGTAATATAATATCTCTTTTTTACAATGATGCAAAATAATGTTTATACCAACAACAAAATGTGCCTAACATATTTACTAATACATGGAAAATAATTTACCTATATTAAGAAGAAATGTAGTTCGATGCATAGTATTAAAAATACTATGTTACACCCATGTTTATACAACAATAAAACATGCCTAACATATCTAACAATACATGAAAAATAATTTACCTACAAGTTAGAGAAATGTTATTTGGTTGGGTGTAGTATAAATTTTTTTAATAATTGGAAAAATTAAATATAACTAGGTGTAGTGTAATTTTTTATATATAATTAGAACAAATTAATTTACCTACCTACTCTTTGAAATGTTCATTTCCAATGATGCAAAATGTTCATTACCTAACTACAAATTAATTTCCAATAATTTACCTACAACATTTATACCATGGTTGTAATGTAATATCTTTCTTTACAATGATACAAAATATTGTATGTACCAACAACAAAACTTGCCTAACATAAGTACTTGTACATGGAAAATAATTTACCTATAACAAAAGAAATGCAATTTGATGTATAAAATCAACAATATTATGTTCCACTCATGTGTATACAACAACAAAACGTGTCTAACATATATAACAATACATAGAAAATAATTTACCTACAAGTTAGAGGAATGTTATTTGATTAAAAATATATAATATAGGTGTAGTATTTTTTTTTTAAATAATTGGAACACACTAATTTACCTACCAATTAATATGGATAAAATTGCTACAAAATATATCACGAAAAAAAAAAAACTAGTTTTCTAGTTTGACATAGATACGGTTAATGCAAACACTTTTTCATTTTATTTCACTTTTTCTACTACTTTTAATTTGGCATAAATTTAGGAATTTGGAAAAGGGACCATAAAGTATGAGTGGCATGAGTGTAAATAAATTGTATTAATAGGTCAATAATGTTCCTATATGTTTGCAAATTTTAAATTTGGGCTTAAACTAAATCTTTAAAGATAGATGAGTTTTTATCTAAAACTAATGAATTGTAAGGGTCAAAATCTAAACCACCCTATTTTATTTGTCATGTACATAATCTTATTTTGCAACTAATTGTATTTATATGTTCCTTGCATAGGGTGACAAAGTAATAATTATTTATAAGACAAGAACTACGCCCAAAAATCAAGTTTTTAAGTTGCATCATGCTTGGGACGTCCTCAAGGATTGTTCAAAGTGGGGAACCAATGCGGACCAACAATGGAGAAAATCATTTGGTAGTGAAGCCGCAAATACGATGATGGTAATGAATGTGTCGATTTGGTGGCCCCAACTTCTTCTTTTGCAAGGCTCAATGAAGAGATAAGTAAAAGGAAGCAAAGAGAAAAGGGAAGATGCAAGATTTGGCATGTGTTTCATGTGTTTGGTGTGTTATACATTTCTATCTTATGTTTTTTATGTGTTTCATGTGTGTTATAGATGTTTCATGTGTTTTGTGTTTATACATTTTTATCATGTGTTTCATATTCTTTCATAGTATTTCATGAGTTTCATGTGTTGGTTTAGTGATTTTTCAATATTTATGAAAATTTAAATATTTTTAAGATAAGATGTTTCATAGTATCGTCTACATAATATATATATATATATATATATATATATATATATATATATATATAGCCTGAATTCAATCTTTAATAATCTGGTACTAAAAATTTAACCCATAAAAATCGGAGCAGAAAAGCTATTTCTGGGTTAGATTCTAAATTTTTTGAGCTAAAAATTTTACCCCTTAACCCAAGAGTTGGATATAATCTAAGAGACTTGGGGGGGGTGTATTTAATTGGAATTTTGAAGGATTTTAATTCTTTTAATAAATCTAGGGGTATTCAATCAAGATTTTAAGTGATTCTCTGAAATTCAATGTGTATTCAATCAAGATTTTAAGATAATTTATTAAAATTCTTACAAATTCAGGTGTATTCAATTAGAATTTTAAAGAAGTTTATAACATTCCAAGTGTATTCAATTAGAATTAGAATTTAATGGATTTGGAAAAGTTGAGGAATTAGAGAGAATTGGAGAGATTTTGTAGTGTATTTTAAGTATCCACAAATTTCACCTTTACCCATGAGATTTCAAGGGAATTGAATCAAAATTTTACATGAAATTTCTACAAATCAGTTAAACTCCATAAAAATCCATGAATTTATAAATTAAAATTTCTCAAATTCTCAATTGAATACATTGAATATTGGGTGAACTTGTTCCCCATTTTACCAAAAGAAAAATAATAAACACGTTCTTCCCGTTCCGCAACGTATGACCACAACACATCGAGTCAAACTCTTACCCCACGCCGCGATGCACCAGATCACTTTCCGTGTCTGTCCATTTTTCCGGATGAAACGTTCACCCAACCACTTCAACTTTGTCGATTCCACACCATGGACTCGGAATCAGGTTCGTCGCAAAAAACCTTAATTCGAAACCCTAATTTCGATTATGTCTACTCAATCGCTGAGCATGCTTCTCTCTGTGTGTGCATTTTGCAGTAATTGAGTTCCTGGGCTGCGTTCCTCTGCTTCAGAGGCTTCCCAGCTCCTCTCTCAAGAAAATCGCCCAGCTCGTCGTTGTCAAACGCTACGGTCAACTTCTATAATCTAATTGCTTTTTCAGCATAATTTAAGCTCGATTCTATCAGTAAATTTTTATACTTTATGTGCAGATACATATATAAAACTGTGTATGTATACTTTTTGTGATGGTGGTGAGGATTTTGAGGGTTTTTTTATTATTATTTTTTTCTTGTATGAGTGTAGAGAGTGGAGAGTATGTTGTTCGTGAAGGCGAAGCAGGCGACGGGGTTTACTTCATATGGGAAGGAGAGGTTAGTCTGATTGTCATTGCTTATTGGTTAGTTGAATTGGAGGTTGGTGAGCTGCAGTCTGATTCAGTAGGTTGCTTACACAGGCTGAAGTTACTGGTTCTGTTAATGCCTATGAAGGAAATCAACCCGAGTTCAAATTGAATCGATATGATTATTTTGGTTATGGTGAGAACTGAGAATTCAGAACCCGTTTTTTATCTATCCTGTTTTAAAATTAAGAAGTTGGGTTACTTTTCTATACCATTTTGTGATGATTCACTGAGAATTTTTTAATCGTTTGTATACATATGATATGAGATAGGGTTTCTGCTTTCTAGGATCCGTTTCTGATCTTTAGAGATTGCTTGATTTGATATTGTTAAATGGTATATGAATTTCCATGTTCAGTATGTTGTTGCAGTAGTTTAATTGGATGCAATATAAGTTGAGGTGTTGACATGAAACCAGACACGGGTAGTTGTCCTCGATTTCTTTAGATAAAGTCGTTGTTTGGTTTAGGGTATAAATGATGAATCTTTGTACTTAAGATTTTTGGGTGACAGATGTGTGAGGCATTGGCCCATGATCGGTAATAATGTAGCTGGAATTGTGTCACCGTCCATTATCAAGGAAGTATAATGTGAAGTTAATTTTGCAGGTTTTGCATCAATTGAACATCAGGCCGATGTGATTGCTTTATCTAAGGTAGTTAAAATGTACATATAATATCTTAGCTTTTCATTTTTCTTCTTTGGCTGCTTAGAGATTATGGGCTGCGAGCCTGGGCTTTAATGGTACATTAGGCAGTACACATTAGGGGGAACTTCGCAATCCTCTTATATTGTTTCTGTGTGACAACTACATCCATCTGGTGCTCAAGGTCACAAGATTTTCCTTTAAAACGCTGTCTTATGTATGCTAACAGTGGTTTCTGACGTGTTCTTACTTTTGGCAGCTGACTTGCTTTGTGCTACCCCATGAGAATTGTACTCTGCTGCAGCCAAAATCAATCTGGAATGCTGATGAAGCTCAAGAGACATGCTCTCTTGTTGAGAATATACTGCATTTGGATCCAATTGAAGTATTTTTCTACCAAATCTTTAAGAGAATAGTTTTTCTATCCTTTGTTTTTTGAGTTATAATGATGTTTAAGAAATTTGATGTAGTGACTCTTTTGTGTTTTGTTTGCTAGCATTGCATTCTAAGGTATGTAGTTATGATGTGATGCTTATAGTGCCAGTTGTTGTGTGCTATCTGACTCTAGTGATAAATTGAATCAGATGCTAAAGTTCTAATGTGCAGATGTGTATGATTATTAAAGAGTATCTACTTTCTGAAATCGTGGGATCTCATAGATTTTCACAAGTCAAAGTGAAAACTTTGATCTCTCAAAATTATTCAGTTGGATACACATTCAATATAGTAAAAACTTCATCTGTGTAATTTTAAATTGTGCCTTGTCCACATTTATTTGTGCTCTCAATATGCCAGATGTAAAGTGATTCTTGGTTTTTTTTCTTTCTGCATAGAAACATATAATGGTTTTATTTTCTTCTTATTACTGATGATTGGCATTTTTTGTAGAGAGATTACGTAATTCCATATTATACTGCATTTTGAAATATTTTGAGTAATACTTGTAATATGGGCATATTCAAAGAATTGTTTTGGTTGATAAGATTCTAATTTTTTTTTTTTCCCCTGAAGGTAAACATATTTCGAGGGATTACTTTGCCGGATGCGCCAAGATTCGGACAGGTTTTTGGAGGACAGTTAGTTGGACAGGCATGATTAAGTATCTTTTTCTCTTTCTGTCAAATATTTTTCTACTGAATGTTTCTCAATGAATGGACAGTTGATGTAGTGAAAGAAATGAAATATTGTGGTGGACTGTGGAACTAGAACTTGTATGCTTGATACAATAAGCTTCCTAATTCTGCCTGAAAATTAAAGGACAAAGGACATATCATCCTTGTTAAGTGCACAAAGATTGTATCCACACTTGTCTAGACCTGGATTGCCTGTATCTTTGTAACAATCGTTTGCAGTGTTTTATATTTGTGTGAAAATTAATATTCAATTAATTAATATTTTATTAAACACCCATTGTTTATTGAGATGTCAACTTGATTATTTAATTATTACAAGGGTGCTTTATATTTGCTCAAATGTTTATGTTCAGTGGGACATCAAGTTTGTTTTATCTGTTAAAGAATGAGAAGTTTCTTTTTGTTTTTATCTGTAATGCGTTTCTGCTTCTTAACTATATCTGCAACTCAATTTGATTGTTCTGTGATCGGTAGAGTTTGAGTTCATTCGGACACAGAAATAAAATTTGATCATGGCTTGGGATTCATTTAAAGTAGTGTACATGTTTCTAACATAGCTTATAAAATGCAGGCATTGGCTGCGGCAACGAAAACTGTTGATTGTCTTAAACTTCTCCATAGTCTGCATGCACATTTTCTGCTTGTTGGGGATTGTAACAGTAAGTAATTTATGTATGAGCCTACAACAACAACAACAAAGCCTTTTAATTTATGTATGAGCCTAATATCTAAAAATAAAAATCTTAAGATAAGAGGCAATATGAGTATATATATTGTCAATATATTTCTGCTTACGTGCGAGAATTGCTTTGCAGCACCAATTATATATCAAGTTCACAGAGTACGTGATGGGAAGAGCTTTGCTACTCGAAGAGTGGATGCAATTCAAAAGGGGATTAACATATTCACGTTACTGGCATCATTTAAAGTAACCATTTATTTAGACACTTTACAAATGATCTGATAACAGTCTCTTCATTATCTTTGCTTGTCATTAATACCTTTGCACTCTAAATTGCATATCAAAGTGGGTAGAGGTTCAATATTGATCAATATTTGTTAATCAGATTAAGCTTATGAACCACGTCTTAATGTGGTAAACAGAGATTAGATATGCCTTTCAAATTTGTAGAGATAAACTATTAAGTCTTTGCCCTAAGAAGTGTTATTTATTTCCTTTCCTTCAATGTATGCTAATGGCAGCTGCTGCTGCAATGTTATCTATTGATGGTAAGATTGGTTGTATTTGTTTTCCAGAAAGAAGAAGAAGGGTCTGTCCACCAGCAAGCAACAATGCCATCTGTGCCTGCTCCAGATAAAGTAAAAATTTCTTTCTTATTTGTTAACAGTTTTGTAGGGTGGTTGCAAATACTGAACTCTTGATCCATAACAGCTTCTGTCGATGGAAGAACTACGTGAAAAACGTCTTCTTGATCCACGTCTTCCAAGGTAAGATATATATGGCTTGTAGACCTCTATTATATGCATCATGCCTGTTAAAAAATCAGCTTGTAATTTACCCATTTGTTTGTTTATTTCATTTTTCTTCCCCTTTCTTAGTGTTGGGGAGTTGAGTTGGGATTTCTAATTTTCTATACAAACTTTACTATTAGTGTAGTGGACATAGTCACACAGCTATGTATTTTAAGGCTGTAACCTTCAGAAAAGAATATCCAGCCAGATAAAGTAAAGGCCCGTTCTCATTTGTTCCATAAATTAGAGTAGCCTTCAGAAAAGAATATCAGCCAGATACAGTAAGGGCCCCTTCTCATTTGTTCCACAAATTAGAGGGGATGGTTCATGGAGTCTAGACTCTCCATGAAACAAAACTTCTGTGCTTGGGTGGAAACCATGCACACTGGTTCCTAAGTTGGATGGACGCTCAGTTCGTCTGGGCTTGAATGATGCTAGATTGAAGTTTCTTGAGTGGATGTTGTTTTCTTATTGGCTTGCTAAATGTATAGTGTCTCTGGATTTAGTTTAGTTCTGATGAATTGATTTTGAACAGGAGATCATTCTGATTATGGATCATGAAAACTTTTGTTAATAAATAATTTCGAAAAGTTGTTAACTGTTTATTTTATTTTATTGGGTTTTCTGTATCAAAGACCTTAGCAAACAACTATCTAGGTTTATAAAAGTGTAGAGTTTATACTTTTGTTAGAGATCTTTTTTATAACTTCTATAGAAACTTTTTTTTTTTTTTCAGAATATCTCATTTTATTGATAGCTGATGAAAAAAGTTATATATATGATATTTTTGACTGCTTGAATCAGGACTTATCGAATCAAGGCAGCTGCAAAGAAATCTGTGCCTTGGCCTATAGAGATACGATTTTGTGAGCCTAGTAGCTCAACCAATCAGACTAAATCTGCACCGAGGTTTGCTTGTTGTACTGTGATTCATAATCTCTCGCTCTCTCTCTCCTTTTTCTTTCCTCCGTTTGCTTCATGCTTCATGTGCACAAGGATATTTCAATTTTTTATTATTAAATAAAAGGCTTTGTTGTTGTTGTGACTATTGATTTATCAGTTTTGGTACTGAACTCTTATCTAAAGTAGAAGTCAATGACATTTCAGTTTGAGGTTCTGGTTTAGAGCAAAAGGAAAACTTTCTGACGATCAGGCTTTGCATAGGTATGCATCCATTTTATCTGTTAGCTGATGTTCAGTTCTGTGGTTATTTATGCTTGTGAGATCTATCACACTTAGTAATTGCATTGACAGTGAAATTAAATTAGAGGAACTCTCATTGTGGGTTGCGATAGGATATTTATTTTAGTGAATATTGTTTTGCAGAGATGGTGATTGTTTCCTGTATGATTGATTCTTTAGATATTTTATTGTTAAACATAGTGCACTACATCTCTTTTTCTTTATTCTTGTATATATACATTGCTTATTTTTGTATGATTGATTTCCAGATGTGTTGTAGCATATGCTTCAGATTTGATATTTGCTGGTGTAAGTCTGAATCCCCACCGCAGAATTGGAGTTAAGTTGAGTCAAGTTAGTTTGGACCATGCGTAAGTCACTTTTTTTTCTTTAAAACACTTGGTCATTGAGTTGAGAATGATAAAAAATTTATTAAACATACATTTTTTTTTTTTTCAAATATTCTCCCAGGATATGGTTTCACCGTCAGGTTAGAGCTGATGACTGGTTACTGTATGTGGTATGTGTCAATATGCCTCATTCTCATGTGTAGTTTCGTTGAAAACTTAAAATGCTAACGCGTATGTTTTTTCAACAGATAGTGAGTCCGATTGCCTACGACACACGTGGATTTGTTTCAGGCCAAATGTTTAACAGAGAGGGAGAGGTATAGACTTTTACGTACTGCCCGTCTCTCTTCACTGTTGGTTTGCATCTATGTAAGCATCGTGCGATGAACTAAAGTTAATGTATGTTTTGATGGCAGCTTATTGTATCATTGACCCAAGAGTCCCTAAACAGGCCAATCAGACCAACTCCGGCTGCCACATCTAAGTTGTGAGCTGGTTGGTGCGTGCAGAATACTGTAGCACATCTAAAAGCAGCGTTGGGCGATCATGTCCGGTGAACCAGTTTGAGTTTGGTTCCAGATTTGTGCACTGGGTTTTACAACTATATAGAATAATGGAACTATATAGCATTAATTGTCAAAACGTTACACTAAATTGTGTAATAAGTTAATAACACATTTCAATTGTATTGAGATGTAGCAGTGTAATAAGTCAATAGCACATTTTGAACTCATATTGAGTTGACGTGAAATTATTTGTGTTTGAAAGGTGAATTTCGGTAGACGGAGAAATGGAACCCAAGTTGGTGGGTTATTTTGACTCGAGATATCCATACTCTTATTTATTTAAAGGGTTATTTTGGTTTCAATCCCTAATCAACCAAACTGTTAGACTAAAACCTTGTTTGTTTAAATATTTTGATCGAGGTCCTTAATATCATTTAAGAGATTTAACTCATGCATTGAGTTGATCGCGGTCCAGATGCGTTGTAGCATGTGCTTCAGATTTGATGTTTCTGGGTGTAAGTCTGCATCCCGACCGCAGAAGAGGAGTTAGTTTGGACCAAGCGTAAGTCCCTTTCTTTTTTCTTTAAACACTTGGTCGTTGAGTTGAGAATGATCAAATTTTTTTTATGAAACATTTTTTTTTTTACAAATATTCTCCCGGGATGTGGTTTCACCGTCCGGTCAGAGCTGATGACTTTTACACACTGCCGTCTCTCGTTGCTGTTGGTTTGCATCTGTCTAAGCATTGTGTGATGAACTAAAGTTAATGTATGTTTTGATGGCAGCTTATTGCATCATCGACTCAAGAGTCCCTAAATAGGCGAATTAGACCAACTCCGGCTGCCACATCCAAGTTGTGAACCAGTTTTGACTTCGGTTCCAGATTTCTGCACTAAATTGTGTAGTAAGTTGATAACACATTTCAAGAGATGTAGCCGTCTTCCCTTGCCGTCGTGCGGAGAATAATAGCCTAAAGTCGTAATGAAACATCATCTTTATATTCTGCGATGTTGTTGTTCTTGTTGTGACCTAAATGTTTGATTACTCTGCGTTTTTGTTTACATTTTAACTGGTGCTGTTTTGGTCAAAAACCTCTGCACGATGTTCCTTTTATTTTTTGGTGAAAATTACACTACATTTTTCTTTTGTTTTTTTTATTTTTTATTTGTTTTCCGAACGATGGAATAATAATGTATGCCAAATTGATCTATATAATTGGGAGAGATGATTTATGCTTGATAGCTATACAAAGAGAAGACACTAATTTTTTTTTTGAGCAAAAGAAGACACTAATTAACTTGGCTAAAGTTGATGCACAGTATCTCCATTGATTATGGAGATAATTCCTAATTGTGTCTGATAGTACCTGAGCAACTTACATAAAATAGATTTATTGCCACATAGCATCTCAATTTAATAAAGTGGTAGTATGTTATGTCATGAAGAAAAATTTATAATGTTATTATCATTCAATTCACGATGTCTTGAGCAGAAAAAAAAAAAAGATTGCAATGCCACGGTAATCCCTTTTCATGAGAAAACTTGAAATAGGTTCGATTTTAACTAAAAAAAAAATGGTTAATCTCAGTTTACTAGTACCTATCATGTTTTAGAACCTTGATAAATCTTGAAGCCCATTCCTAGCTACGAAGTCTCGGAAGTCTCTCACACTAGTCAGTTTTAAAATTTTCCCCCTTCATATTCACCACTTTCCAAAATATCGTTGAAGTCAAACTATCAACAAACACCGATCTCTGTTCCCTCCATGCGTTGACTCAACATATTCCACTGCTCCTTCCTTTTTGTTTTCTTTCTCCGTGCTTGCATAAACGGCAAATAATCTCCACGAGCAGTTGCTCTGATCGTCTTGGATGCATACCTCTATTAGAAACTCTGCATACGTAACCAGCAAAACTTGGTTATCATCATTCCAAAACATACAAAGACCTCCCCTATCCCTTTTAGCTCCACAACATACATAAAGTCCCTACCCAACTTCATTTTAAGAAAAGCATAACGATGACTACGATTCTTAGTCTCTAGTAGCATCACTATGTCGAAGGTGTGGAGCCTATTTTACTCCAGTAGATTGTCAACTGTCAGGTCACCCCAAATACTTGCATAACTCCGTGCTAGTAGTCTCATAGCGACCGTGGAGACCCCCTCAAGGCTGGTCTCATCCGCTTCATTGAAGAAAGTGAAACTTCCGAGTCTAACGTTTCTGTTTGTGTCACCTAGTTCCTAACTCTCTGGTTCCATGGCCTGCCGCCCTCTCTTTTTTGTTTTTTTTTTTTTTTTTGAGAGATAGCTTCAATGACAGGCCCAAAATTAAATGGGTTAGAATCCTATGTGAGCATGTTTGCTCTTCCATCTCCTTCAAAATGTTGCTCACATACCTGATTGTTTGCTTTCGATTCCTCTAGGGCGATGTTTAAGTCAATTCCAGCCGTTTTCACGTGACCTTTTTATTCATTTCCTTGCTTCCGTCTTCTCATCTAGACATTTAAGATTAACATTCTCAATCCCCGATGCCACTACTCCACCCGGATCGATCAACCCTGCGTCGTAGGACTGCTCCCTTGCTTTTCTTTCTATCTCTTCTTGTTCTTTTTGCATTCGTATTCTTTCTGCTAGGGTCTCCACCAATGGTTTCTGGTGTGTAGTTAGGTCAGGTTGCAAAGTCCTTCAAACTCTACTCCCTCCTCGGTGTTTCCTGCTTCTAGGTAGAAGCAGTTTCTTTTTAGATCCTGCTCGCTTCCCCATGCTCTGCTTGATTTCTTGGACCATGTCTCGATAATTTAACTGCCTTCCCTTCTATCACTCCAGCCTTTGCGTTGTTGTCTATGACTCTCTTCCAATCTTTGCTTCTTGCCATGGAGCTATTTTTACGGTTAAAGGAAAGGATTGCGTTCCCTATTCTCGTCATTCCCTGCACTATCTAAACACTTCTCCTTACAAACCCTAGTAGGGTGCTTTAATAGCCCACAAATTAGGCAATATTTGGGCAAGTGTTCATATTTGAAATCCACCCAAACCTTTGTAACACACATCAACGACTCTCGGACTTTAAATCTGACTCTTACTCTTAGGAATCTCCCAATACAATCCTTGTTTAGTTTGATAAACCTTCAGTACAGTCACCATTAACCCTCTAATGGATTGCTTTACTGATTCCATTATTCTCAGAGACTGGACTTTATGAATTTGTACCCATAGAGTTCTGGTGAAAAAGGCTCCCATGGATTGCTTCCGTTCTGCGTTCTGTCATCGATCATTACTAGATCATCGTTGAACTTCCATGGTTAGTCAGCGTCTAGAAGCCTAAACATGTCTCGTTGCCCCCACAAACCCTGCTAGCATATGTATGTTTCCTATGACTCTAAATGGAGACCCCTTCTTTTCCTCTCCAAAGAGACGTGAATCTGTTTATGAAAGCATCCATGTTTACCACTTTGAATGTTAGCACCTTTGCAATCATGATATCGTGAAATCCAACCAGTGCCTCCTCCACTTCCTTCATCTTGATTGTAACTCCACTTTTTCATTCTTTGATAAATGAAGTTTAGCTCCAAACCTCCGCCCTAATTCCTCCAAGTCATACTATTTTCGTATTTCTCTCATCGTTCTCACTCGCTGTCCACTCGTAGAAGATCTTCACCGTGTTAAAAGATATCAGCTTCTTTGTCGTATTGTGTTGTGCAATTAAATCTGGGCTGCACCGTCAAAGAACTCTAACCCAAATTTATGCCGTCACTTGAGACCCTCCTTTCAAGGACTTTTGGTTTTCCCTTAATGAAAGAAAAAATAATAATTTGATCGTACGATTCTTCGTTATTTAAGGATACGTTTGGCATCTTAGTATCAATAAGTTAAGGTGAATTTTTAAACCATTGGACGTATTTTAGTTAGCTGTGTTACGCCTTGATCTCGAGATACGTTTCGAATCGACATATGGCGTCACACATGCATGTTCATCTTTCATGTCTCGCCTCCGAGACATGACCAAAAATACCAATAAATGGCTCAACAACACAATAACTTATCCTTTATTTTATGACTGCATCTAATCTCTTTATTGGATTGCCTACATACCTTAGAACGGGATCAAGCCATTCATAGTTCACACATTGATAAATTCTGACATTCCACAAGGCACTTCCTAACGAAAGAAATACAGTTTCAAAATGATTCAATTCCTGGAACTCAACAAGTAATTAACTAGGTTCTAGTTTATTTAACAAAACCATATAGCCGCCCAAATTGTCATTTTATCTTTCACAGATGCCACATTGTTTTCCACTAACAATTCCACAATTACATCAAATAATAGATTTAGTGAATCAAAGATGCACAATATTAACATCTAACTACATTAATCAATCAAAGATCAAATATCACATCACTAAGTTTAATAAAACCAACCTTCATAAGGTTGCCATATTTCTCTACATGCAATTCATATATCCAGAATCCAATATTATAACCTTAAGTTACAACCACAAGAGTAACCTTGAGCAACGTTTATGCACAAGAATATAAGGTTCAACGAAGATAGTGTTCCTGACCACTCAACGGAACTCAACTCTAGAATGCTTATGCCCACCCCCTCCCCCCCCCCCCCCCCCCGGAAATGCGGATTAACTAGGCAGAACCATAGGCATCCATCTGATAGTGTGCTCTTCCTTGCAAATTAACTAGGCAAGATCACCTAATAGATCCAATGTGATCAAGTAAGCATTGACCCCCAATGCAGATTAACCAGGCGGAGTCATCCCCTTGAATGAGTATGGTCCCTTAATGCGGATTAACTAGGCAGGACCATACAACATCCAATAATGTGTTCCCCTAATGCAGATTAACTAGGTAGGACCACTTTGTTGGAAATGTGCCCTAAAACCAATCATATGATGATACTTTATGGACATTTCACATGTTAAACTAATCTAGTTTAATATTAAGGGCAAACATTATTGTTTGAGCCGTCTCATATAAATGTTATATGCTTAAACGATAAGTCCAAGGAATATGTGATTGGAAGAATGCGATCTAAAGAAGTTAGATTCATGAGACCATTCTTTCGTTGACACATCCTAAACGTTCCTGATCATAGGATTGTCAATTGGGCATTGACAGTCCGTTAAGATCAGTACGTGCTATGTCTTCTCTCGGGGAGAGTGACTAGTCTCGAGTCATTGGTGTGTGTGACATCAAGACAAGTACGTAGGTGCTCAATAGAGAATGAGTTCACTGAACACGATCAACGAAGAGTTCTCATATTCATGTCACATGAGAACTCATGGTTGGGATAATGCAAATTAGT